GGGAGGTTTGGATAATAAGGCTGAGGGCACATGTTGAATGGGAAAGGTAGAGGCATCATTAATAGCTGTCCATTTGCTGACTGCAGTGAGCATTCTGGGGGAAAACTAATGTGTGATCATCTAATTAGGCGCTGTATCGTAATGGATATGAGCAATTGAAGACTGCAACGGCAACCTTCTGTCTGGCTTTTCCTATCTTTTTTTGAATGTAATTAGAAATACAGGATTGAAACAAATTATTGCAATCAGTCCTTTGCTGTGATAGCCATCGAGTTATACAGTTACTGTCATTAAATGAGCTTTATTTTAAATGCTGTTAGTATTTATATCCCACACTTTTGTTGGAAGGCCATTCCAGAATCCAGATTGTTCTTGTACTGGGGGATATTATAGCATTCAATTCAAATGCGCAGTGGCTATACAGGTTCTTTGTCTTTTTGCCCCTTCCCATTTGCTCCTGTCTGTGACTATGTTTATCTTAAATCTCTTTTTCTCTTTCCCCATGATGTGTGAGCAGACAGCAGCCCCATTCCTTTGCTGAGCTGAAGTGCCTCTCTATCTCCTCTCCTGTTATAAATAGACTTGCCAAGGCTGTTGTTTCTCAAATATTGATGACCAGAATTGTAAAAGCGCACCAATATTGCATTGTCTGAATTGCAAATACCTCCCGGACACAACAGACCGGTGCCTTATAGTCGCTTGAATCAAGTAGTGTATAACCAAGTCTGACACGGTATTATCTTCCAGCAGAAGCATTTCCCATTAGTCCCGGAGCATCTTACCTTGTATTGTGCATTTTTTACTTGTTTTTGCCACGCATGGTCTCAAGCTCACCCAGTTCCCTCTGATGTCCCATTTCTGTGCTGTACTGCTGGCAGTGCCTGACTTTGTCACCAGCAAACTTCATTGGCCTATTCCTAAGGCTTGTGCCAAGCTCCCTAGCGAGGTTATTAAACTAGCTTTCTTTTTCTGAGACTAAGACGAGTCATCCTGCCAACTAACCTCCTGCCATCCACTTATGATTTCCATTTTTCTACTCCTTATTGCTGGCTGACCATCAATCAGCTTTTTACCCACCTCATAATTTCTGTATGTGGCTTGATAGCCTTCAGTATTCCTTTACTATTAGGCTTTTCAAAAATATAGTGTATCAGGCTGCTGGTCCGCCGTGATTAAAAGAAAGAAATAAATCAGCACAAAGGTAATTCATGGAGGCAGAAATCCTGGAAGGTGTAAATAACCCTGTGTACCAGCAACTCAGTGTGGCTGAGAGCAGCTCTGCATTTCGGAACCATCTACCTCCTGCTGCAGAGCTGTCGTGCTCCGGGGATTGACTGAGCTGCTGTGCTGGTCTTCCACAGCTCTTTTCATGTTCAAAGAGCTACTGACAGTATCGTTTAGCAGCCAGAAAAAATCCAGTAGAAGTTCATCACCACAGGACACTTGTCATTTTGGACATCCTTTATCGGTAGCTTGATCTGAGCTTTGTCTATTTTGTCTTTGCCAAGTGATGCAGAGATGGGTGGTTTCATTTGAAAGCTTTAAACATACTTTCTGATTTTGAAAGCCGTGCTCCTGAAACACAGAGGATCCCACGAGAATTCAACAGTGTTGGGAGCTGGAAACCGGTAGGGTTCCCCTCCCCATGAGACTTTTAACGTCTCCCAGTGAATAGTTTTGATTTCCAGTGTGATATAAAGAGCTAGCTTGTTGACAGTTTTCCTGC